CCTGTTGTCCCAGCTACTTGGGAGGCTGAGGCAAGAAAATCACTTAAGCCCAAGAGTTGGAGGTTGCTGTGAGCTGTGACACTATGGCACTCCACCCAGGGCAATAGAGTGTCTCAAAAAAAAAAATTAATTAATTAATGAGAACTTACTAATTTTTGTTAACGTTTTCCAGTAGCAAGCAATAACCAAAGCTACCGGGAGTAGAGGGAAGGTCAGAGCCTTCACACATTGGTATCTCATTAGACCCTTATGACAACAGCCCTATGAGCTAATAAGCATGTTAATTGCAGCTGGAAGACTCACCATGCTATGGCGCATAGCCCTTAGTACATGCAGACCGACAGTGGCTTTTTGTAAGGGACCATAATTATAGTACTAGATATAATGCGTTCATGATGTAAATGGTTTGTTGTAAGAATGCTATGCTGCACTTACGAGATAAAACTGATTTATTATGTTTCAGGTTATCTGCACCATGGCGATGAATAATGTCCGATTACTTGCTGGTGTTTTAAGAAAGACAGATGCCTGGATTGGACTCTGGGGTGTGCTCCGAGGGACATTTTGTACACACAAACGCTGTACCTCCTGGAATCGATACTTGTATTTTTCAAGTACTGAGTTAAATATATCAGATTATAAAGCACTTTCCCATAATATGTTCTCACTGAGAATCCCATCTCCTGAACATATTTTTCCATTTTTCATAAGACCGAAAAGTAATGTAAGCTCTAAAAATTCTACTAAAAAGTCTCCACAAAAAGTAGAGGATGAAGAGGACTCTGATACAGAAAAGGATCGTGATGAAATGAGTGAGGCAGAAGAGGAGCTTGAGGACGACTCTGGCGTGGTCAGAGACTACAAAGACCTGGAGAAAGCAGTGCCATCGTTTCGATATGATGTGATCTTGAAGACAGGCCTAGATATTGGGAGGAAGTGAGTATGACGTGCGTTTTATTATAAATTCGCGTGTAGTCTTGTTATTTTTATGCAGCATTACAAATTACTCTGCACATACTGTAGTGAAGAATAACCACAGTATGAAAGGACCCCATAGGTAACCTGTTCATTCATTTTATGGATGAGAAAACTAATTTCTAAAGGAGTCAAGTGACTGCCTGCAAACCCTGTGTATCATATTTCCTTGAGCCTAAGACACAGTTGACTGTAAGGTGAGCCATTGATTTAATAGCAGCTTCTTGGCTCGGCGCCTGTGGCTCAAGCAGCTAAGGCACTTGCCACATACACCAGAGCTGGTGGGTTCGAATCCAGCCCAGGCCTGCCAAACAAGAACGACAACTACAACCAAAAAACCCCCAAAAATAGCCAGATGTTGTGGCGGGTACCTGTAGTCCCAGCTACTTGGGAGGCTGAGGCAAGAGCATCACTTAAGCCCCAAGGGTTTGAGGTTGCTGTGAGCTGTGAAACCACGGCATTCTACTGAAGGTGACATAGTGAGACTTTGTCTCAAAAAAAAAAAAAAGAAGGAATTAGGCTTCAGGCTGGTCTGAAGGTATGAAAGTAGTATGACTTATCTCATTTGATTATTCATAGGTATAGATTGAACTTGTTCTACTCTTTCCCTTTTTTTTTTTTTTTGAGACAGAATCTCATTCTATCACCCAGGATAGAGTACTGTGACATCATAGCTCACAGCAATCTCAAACTCTTGGGCTCAAGTGATCCTCTTGCCTCAGTCTCCCAAACAGCCAGGACTACAGGCACTCACAGCAATGCCTGGCTAGTTTTTCTCTTTTTAGTACAGACGAGGTTTCGTTCTTGCTCATGCTCGTCTTGAGCTCCTAAGCTCAAGGCATCCACCTGCCTCCACCTCCCAGAGTGCTGGGATTACAGACGTGAGCCAGTGCACCTTGCCTCTCTTTCCTGCTTCTCACTACTGCACTTGACTAGTCTTAAAAAAAAAAAAAATTCAGGTTCTCTTAGAGCCATATTACTGAGGTTTCAGTCTGGTTCTGTGTGTGATCTTGGGCAATTTACTTAAAATCTCTGTTTCACTTTCTTCATCTATAAAATGGGGATAATAGAACCTTTTCAGGATGGTTGCTAATGAATATCTAAAGCACTTAAAATAGTGTCTACCATAGAGTAGGTAGTCAATATATGTTATAAAAGAATAGTAAGTAACCTTGATCGTTCATTCATTCCTTCAAGCAATTGATGTGTGCATATTGTATACCAGGTAAGAATTGTGATGTGACTGAGTGCAGAAATTTCCTTTTGTGATTTGTACCTTTACAACCTACCTTACTGGTATAGATTAATTTTTAGAGTCAGATCTAAAGGGGAAGGGAACTGTTTTTTGTCGGTATCCTCCCCTGGTCTCGTTGCCCAGTGACTTAAATTCAAAGATCAGCAGCTGTCGTATTGACGTTTTCCCCACCTCAGTCCTGACTGGCAGACAGTTTCTTACTGGCCTCGCCCTGTGTGTGTTGCCTCTCTTCAAGCACCACCACATCCTGGCCATGTAAGGTCTGCACTGGGAATCGGGGAGAGTTCCAACCCCTGTCCTGAGTGCATGCCAGACCCCTCTTGAAGCCCCACCTAAACTACCCATCCAGTGGTGCTAGCAGACATTGCTAACCATTCAGTTCACATGCTGAACCACTGCTCAGAAGTGCTCTCAGTTCTCCCTGTTTTAGCTACCTACTCGGCAGTTGACTCTCACTTTCCCAGTACCCAAAATAAAGACTTTGTGGGGAGTCCCTGTTAGAAACAGCTGCTTTTTTTTTTTTTTTAAGAGACAGAGTCTCACTGTTATCCTCTATAGAGTGCCCTGGTGTCCCCACAGCAACCTCAAACTCTTGGGCTTAAGCGATTGCTTCAGCCTCTCAAGTAGCTAGGACCATAGGTGCCCACCACAACACCCGCTATTTTTTGTTGCAGTTGTCATTGTTATTTAGCTGGCCCCGGACTGGGTTCCAACCTGCCAACTTCAGTGTATGTGGCTGGTGCCATAACCACTGCTGTGGTCACTGAGCCTTCAAAGAAGCTTCAATAGCAAGTGTTTTTCTCAAACTTGTATATAGTTGATGGTTGAACAATATGGGAGCTAAGTGTGCTTAACCCTGTGCAATTAAAAAGCCATGTATAACTTTTCTTTCTTTTTATTTATTTATTTATTTATTTGAGATAAAGTCTTATTATGTTGCCCTCAGTAGAGTGTCATGGCATCATAGCTCACAGCAACCTCAGACTCTTGGGGCTCAGGTGATTTCTTGCCTCACCTCCCAAGTAGCTGGGACTACAGGCACCCACTACAACAGCCGGCTATTTTTGTTGTTGTCATTGTTGGTTGGCAAGCCTGGGCCAGATTCGAACCCACCAGCCCCTGGTGTATGTGCCTGGTGCCCTAGCCGCTGAGCTGAGCCCATGTATAACTTTGTCTGCCTTCAAACTTATGCACTAATAGCCTACTGTGGACCAGAAAGAAGCCTTACTGATAGTGAACAATTAACACATTTTAGTATATGTCTAATATGCTGCATTCTTAGAATAAAGTAAGCTAAAGAAAAGAAAATCATAAGGAAGAGAAAATATATTTACTATTCATTCAGTGGAAGTGGACCATCGTGAGGGCTTTCATCCTCATTTTCATGCGGATTCGGCTGAGGAGGGGCTGGTCTTCATGTCTCAGAGGTAGCAGAGGTGAGGAGAAATCCACATAGGAGACCAGCACAGTTAGTTCAACCTGCATTGTTCAAGGGTCAATGGCAGTTGTTTTGAATTATATTTCTGGATTTTAAAGCACTTTGCCTTTTTTTTTATAGCAAAGTGGAAGATGCATTCTACAAAGGTGAACTCAGGCTGAATGGAGAAAAATTATGGAAGAAAAGCAGAACGGTGAGATATGAAATTTATAATGACAGCTAGATATTATTGTCTGTTGCTCTGCCAGTACTTATTTAAAACGCTGCCCCAAATTTCCCCTCAGGCTCCTTACCTTGTCTGGAATCCTGTGGGCCTGGTCAACCTACTGAGAAAAACCAATAGGCTTTATTCACACAGGCCACTTTAACATTCACAGCCTTAATGACCTTGTGATAAAGGTTCCCTCTTTTTTTTTT